CTCCTTTATGAGGTGTCTCTTTGGGTATACTGGGGTCAGGGAGCTGCTTCAGGAGACAGTCTGTTCCTTATAGGAGCTCAAGTGCTATGCTGGGAGCTCCATTGTTCTGTGCAGATATGCTGGGCAGGTACTTTTAAGTCTGCTGCAGCAGAACTCATAGCTGCCTCTTTTCCCAGGTGCTCTGTCCTAGGAAGGTCCGCTTTATTTATAAGTTCCTGTGGTGCTGCTGCCTTTTTTCATAGATGCCCTGCCCCACATGGAGTAGTCTAGTCACAGTGTGCCAGCAGAGGTGTTGCTGAGCTGCTGCAGGCTCTGCCCAGCTGCTGAAATGGTGGTTGCCATTCCCCCCACTAAGCTGAACCGTCCTGGGTCCAGCTGCGCTTGCTGGGAAACTCTCAATCCAGAGCGTTTCAGATTGCTTGTTTTGTGGGGGTGCTACCCACCTAGGCAGATCACCTGGCTCTCTGACTCTGCCTCCTCCCTTTCAGTTGAATGGGCTGCTCTGTCTCCTACGTGTTCCAGGTGCCAGTTGAAACAGCCGCCCAAATTTGTGTGAGTTTCTCTGTGCCAAGCCAGCACCTGCTGAAACCACCATGCTGAAAACTCGTGGCACTTTTCGTCGTGGAAATCTCCTTGTCTGTGGGCAGTGAAAATTTGTTTGGAAATGCGGTGGGCACTCACCCTCTGCATTGTTCTTGCTGGGAACTGCACTCCGGAGCTGTTCCTATTTGGCCATCTTGGATCTTCCAAATGTTTACCAATTTTATGATTTAAAAAAATTTTACTTTTAATTTGGATTTCTTTACTTATTAGTGATATTGTGCATGTCTTTGTATGTGTATTGGCCATTTGTATTTCTCCCTGTGATTTTCATAATGATACATTTTACTAGTTTTCTAATTCATTTGGTGATATTCTTTACATGTTCTGCACATTTATTATTTCCATATAATAACTGATTTTTTTTCCTTAAGGTCTGTGTCATAACTTTTACTTTTTTTATATTGTTTTTGTTTTGAAGAAACTTTTCTTTTTACATAGCCAAATTTTCAATTTTTTTTTTTTTATCATTTCTGGATTTTGTGATGGACTTTCAATAGTTTGTCCTTTTAGGGTTTTATTGATTTGTTTTGTTTTAAAGAACATGCTCAAATTCTACATTATATAGTGATTTACTTTCTCCCTTTATAATACATGGTAGACATTACTAGTTCTAAGTAATGTAGATTAAATGTATTCTTTTCAGTTGTGTGGTAATTCATATTATAGATATGTTCTGATTTCTTTATTCTCTATTAGATGGATATTACGGTTGTTCTTTAAAATTTCCACCACTAATGACTTTCCAATAACCATCAATATATGTAGATCCCACCAATTTTTTTTTTAAGTAGCATATGATTCTCAAAATGGTACAATTGAGTTGTGATAAATTTAATTATAATTTTAATAATACTGGCAGACTATTTTCCACAAATTTGATCAGTTCACAGTCTTACCAATTAAATAAGTGGGCCTCTTTCTATGTAGGCTCAAAAGCACTAAAAGTTTTTTTTTTTTAATAAAAATACTAGTTTGGTTTGTGAAAAAACCCATAGGTGCTTTAATTAATCAACGATTTCTATTTCAGAGAGTTGCCTATTCAGTGTGTGTGTGTGTGTGTGTGTGTGTGTGTGTGTGTGTGGCTGAGTCAGCCCTGCCCGGCCACAGCCACTCTAAACAGCGAGGAAGGACTGTGGGTCAGAATCACAGCCCCCTGAGGAGAGGGGTGTAGAGCAGAGTGGGGTGAGGATCCTTCTCCCCTGTACAGGGGGTGAGCAGGGTGAGAACAGGAGCCCAGGGTGTGGTGCAGACTCAACTCCCACTTCCTGACACTGCTTTGGAGGCTGCGCTCCCCCAAAGCCACCTTACAGCTCCTAAACCCTTCATGGGGGCTGAGCCACTGCATGCAAATAAAAGCTGCTACCTGTCTGTCCCTGCACCTCCCTCCCTCCGGTTCTCACAGCTGACCCCGTGGTTGGAGGGGGTTCTTGCTGTCAGCATTGCAACCCAAACCTATCCAGTGGGACCCCTGATGATTGAACTCCCCTGGAAGCCCTGAGGTGTTTCTCAGCTGGGTGGGGACATCTCAGGAGAGTCCCTAGTGTCCCCCACTGCCCTCAAACCCCAAAACCTTCCTGCCTCCCTGACATACGTGGGCATCTCAATGATAGGCCCACAGTTTTCTAAAATTATTCATGGTGTCAGAGAAGGGCCAGGACAGCTAGGAACTGTAACAAGGGTGCTGTTGGCGGAGGGGAGGTCCTTCTCACTGAAAGCAGCCACAGACTGCCTTCCGGCAGCACCAGCAGGGCATGTGTGCAATTTCCTCTCTGTCCGTGTTTCCTGGGACCCACAAGCACAGAGTTTACTCATACCACACTCTCATCAGCCTCTCTTTTATCTATGTTTTTCCTTTATAACTATTTCAGATCATGTTTCTGTCCATCCCTGAGTCACCAACCCAAGTGTAAATAATGTGGATCACTCTTCCAAATAATCTCTACGGATGCTTAAAGAATTCATAAAGTGTGTTTGCATTTTTGCATTAAATGATGTTCCCCCTTTAGGCCTCAGGTGGTTATTTTTTATTTTTTCTAAGATTTAAACTCATAATCATACATTTAATTTTATCCATGTGTGCACGTGAGCCTCTTCGATGACTTCCAACTGGTCAGCACTGCGTCAACTACTCTTTCCTTATAAACCCTCTTGTGCCAAGCATCCAGGTTGCTGCTGATACCAGCTACCTCCTATGATGAGGACTTCCTCCTTTATCTTTCCTTCTGCCTCTGAACGAGAGAGGGCTTGGTGCATAGAGGGTGCACACTTAACGTTACTGTGTGCTGAGGAAATCCCTCAGGATGGTTGACCTCCTGAATACTCCCAGTTGTGAGTGAGAGTTTGACTCCCCACAACCTAACTGGCAATTTATTTTGATTTTTTTTTATTGCAACATTAGTTGTCTGCTCAGCACTCACTGGTTTCACACATGACCTTGAAATAAGTGTGCAGTTCTGGAGTATCTACAGGAACCCACAGGTTTTGCTTGCGCGGGCCCTGCTGGCTGGCAGACCTCCATCCCTTTCTGCTTCCAGCTCAAGGAGCTTTGACTGCTTCCGCCACTCCCATCACACTCCTGCCCCAAGCTCCTTTGCTTTCCCTTTGCTCTTCCTGGATGGAGCCTTCCACACAGACATGCTGGGCTCCTCCACAGCGGCTCCTTTTGCCTCAGGTGGATCTGAACCTATGTTCATATGACTTTTATTCATCCACCTTTGCCTTCTGTAATTGCTTTATTGTGATATTTGTCCGTTTTTAATTAGGTTTCCATTTTATTTGTTTTTTCTATTTTTTTCTGAATTCTCAATAGTCCTTGAAAATATCTTTCCATTGTTTGATGCTCCTGTGCAACTTTACCTATTAGGTCCTTCTTTGAACAAAACACCTTAAATAGTCATGCAGGAACTCATAAGGCTGTGTGGTTTCTCAGAGAGAATAACCTACCATGTACTGACTTTTGTCTGTCAAATTCATAGAAACTTCAGCAAGTTTGGCATAGTAAAGCCTATGAAAGTGCACTCAATCACAAGTGATTAGCAGAATGCATATTCAGAAGTTTCACCCTGGACTATGACTAAAAGTGTCATCCGGGGGCTGAGGCTGGAGGGACGTGCAGGCCCATCCTATCACAGAAGTGGCAGAACCTGGAAGCCACATTCGTAGCCTCCTGGGCTAAGTAGCTGTGAGCTCAGCTGGACTGGGCTTCACGCTCTCCAGTTGACTTGTAAGGCATCATTCAGGGACGCAGGAAGCGGCACAGTTTCTCACGCCTATCTCCACCAACACAGACATGTGATCAGAGAGAAAAATGCAGAAGGTTGTTGAGGTTGTGGAGGAGCTGAGCTGTCACATATGACTCTGGGAACATACTTTGTTTCAACTATCTTGATAAATGGCTTTCTAGGGCATACTACAGTAATCAGTACCTGTGACCCTATAGTCCCAATCCTGCTACCTATGTCCAAAAGACATGCACGAGGCAAGGATGTTGGTGTCCACCTGGGGGGCTTTATAGCAGCATCGCTTCGTGCAACTATCATGATAAACAGAGTGAATGTAAAACAGAGAGTGTAAACTCATTGCACCAACTTCCTACAATGAAGATGTTATATATGGACAGGACAAAGCAGTACAAAATGATGAATGTTTCATCACAATGGAACATAGGTGAAATTTACATGATATTTACATATAATTTTCAATCAGAAACAAAAGAGTACATACTGTAGGTTTCCATTTATATGAATTTTTAAAATAAATGTATTTATTTTAAATTGTTTTAAAATATGTTGATCATGACCAGAATAGTGAGTGTCTCTTGGGTGTTACTGCCTGGGAGTTAGCCAAAGAGGGGCTGCCAGGTGTTTATATCTGGGTGGTGGCAACACAGATTTTGCAAGAAGACAACAACCTGTACATGCATTATACATGTAATATATGTGCACTGTACCACAAAGCAACCATCAAATAAAAACAAAATAACGCAATATTTTTCCATATGCAGACTTCCATGCTTATTGTCTCCCTCTGAGTCTATCGCATATTTTAAATAGAAGTAATTCAAGTCTTGCATGCACACTTCCGGATACAGAGGGAACGCACACTCTTCTCTTTTAATCAGGACAATCACGACAGCAAATTCAACAAGAGACATCACAAGAAAGGTGAATTAAAAGCCAAACTCAGCTGGGTGGGTGGGCTCCTGGAGACAGTGGGGTGTCCCCTCCCCTCACTCCAAATGCCCTCATTTTCCAGCACAAGATTTGCCGGACATGCCCTTCACTCTGTTTACACATCACCCCCAGCTGTGAACCCCTCTAGAACCTGGATATCTATTGTACTGCTCCATCCCAAGGGCCTCACAGAGTGCCTGGTACTTGTGCCTGTGCTCAGGAAGTACCTGTTAGATGAAAGATAACACTAGCCCATTGATGGCTATGCTGGAAGGAAAACCCAGGGGTGGTGAGGTGAATTCTCCCTCATCTCTGAATCCCAGTGCTGGGCTGCCTCGTGCCACGGTCATTAACCAGAGGTATTTGTATTTAATTTTAAAATTTAATCTCCAGTCCCTCATCACACCAGGCACATTTCCAGTGCCCAGTGGCCCTGCACTCGCAACACAGAGGGAACATTCCTGTCTGTGCAGAACAGGCTTGCGGCAGCAGCTCCAACCTGGCACAGGGTCTGTTTGTGAGTCACCGACCTGAACACTGCCTGGTAGGGTTGGAGCCTGACATTGATAAGGCTGGTGGGGAGAGCTATAATGATCTGGAGGAGAGGGGAGTGGCAGGTGGAAAGGGAGTCCTCTCTTGATGTGAATGTTTGCAAATGTGAGCAGCGACTTGTTGAAAGCCTCTGACGCCAGAGAGCCGAGGTAAGTTCTGAGAAAGCAGAGGATGGAGCTGAGAGTTGCTGGGGCAGCTGGCGTGGCCTCCTCTGCAGCAGGGAGGATGAGCGAGCCCCTCTGGGTAACACCTTTCTTGCTGGTGCTTATGTCTTCAGAGCTTGGATTGGCAACAGGAGACATTCCAGCAGTGATGATGACGACGCTCCAGATAGATGGGCACCCTAGAGAAGGGACACCATGGAAGTGGCTTCTTAGGAACAGTCCACCCAGACCTGCAGCTTTGGAGACCAGTGAAAGAAGAGGGGAATGAAATTTCTAAAAAAAGAAAAAAATGTGTTATGTTTAAATGTTAATGACAGTAAAAGAAAAAAAAGGTGATAATGTCTATGGCCTTTGAGTTTTGTTTGTCGTCTTTTCTTGCTTTGCTTCTCAATGATTATCTTTCCCTCAGGACCTGCTCTTTTCTGCCTCTGCCACCACCAAATCTCAAACACTTGGGTTTTATTGGTTATCATCTCTTGATCATACAAGAGACTGAGCTGGGTTTTGGTGCTAGCCTGCCCTGCAGGATGTCTGTGGGCAGGGCTCTCTCTCCAGGGAACTCCACACTGGAAGTCTGGTGAGGGTGGGGTGTGAGCCTCTCCTGGCTGCACAAAGGTCGGAGTGGGGACAGGGCCTCCCCCATCTGTACTCCCAGGTGGGAGTGTGGGTTGGGCCTCTCCTGTCTGCACTCTTGGGTGAGGCTGGGGGTGGAGAGTGGGCCTATCCTGTCTGCACTTCCAGTTGTGGTTGGGGGGTGGGCTCCTCCCATCTGCTCCCAGGTGGGTGTTGGGGGTGAGTCCCTCCCGTGCACTCCCAGGTGTTAGCAACTTAGTGCTTCTGCCCCCTCTGCTGACTCCTGCTTTAACGGCACTCCCACGGTGTGGAACTTCCAGAATCAGCCCAATGTGATGCAGTTGTAGCAAACTCAGCCCCTTATTTTCTGAGCTCTGGAGCTGAGAAGGCCTCTCAGAGTCCTGACCTGGGTGAGAGCCTTCATCACTGTGTACAACCCCATCGTTGAATGCAGGCTGTTCCTGGAAGAGAATCCTGAGGGACCCCTTACCCAAGGGCAAGACCCATAAGGGGTCTCAGGGGATACCCACTGACCAGTAATATTCAGGCACTTGGGAAGGCATGTTTAGTCCTGAGGAGGGCATTTTGATGGACACCATTGCATCTTGCACTGTTTAGACCCACTCGCTTCATGGAGTACTTTCTCCAGAAATCTGCTTGGCCTTTTTTCCGCCCCGCAGAAAAAAGAAAAAAAACAAAACAAACAAAAAAAAAACAGTCAAGAGGCCGTCAGTGGAAGGAGCCACAGTCCCTGCTGGTCTCCAGCTGTAACTGATAGGCACTGTCCTCTTCCCCAACTGCCCGTCAAGATCCCCTGCCACGCCAGACGCAGTGGCTCATGCCTGTAATCCCAGCACTTTGGGAGGCCGAGGCAGGCGGATCACCTGAGGTCAGAAGTTTCAGACCAGCCTGGCCAGCATGGTAAAACCTCATTTCTACTAAAAATGGAAAAAAATTAGCTGGGCGTGGTGGCGCACCTTGTAATCCCATCTACTCAGGAGGCTGAAATGGGAGAATTGCTGGAACCCAGGAGACGGAAACTGAAGTGAGCGGAGATTGCGCCGCTGCACTCCATCCTGGGCGAGAGAGGGAGACTTCACCTCAATGAATAAATTAATTTAATTTGGTTTAAAAGATCCCCTGCCAAACACTGAACTGAATGCATCTCCACAAAGTCAGTCGTGGACCTCCTAATCCCCAGGTGGATGGTCTTAGGACTGGGAGCCTCTAGGCAGTGGCTGGGTCATAAGGGCGGAGCCCTCACGGAAGAGCCTTGCGTAGCTTCTGTCACATCCACTCTGTGAATATGCGGCAGAAAGGTGACCCTCGGCGAAGGAGGAGGCAGGCCCTCACTAGGCATCGCCTCTCCCAGCGCCTCGATGCTGGACTTCCAGCTTCCAGAACAGTGAGAAGTGCATACCTGCTGTGTGCGCTCTGCCTGGTTTACGGACCTTGTTACTGCACCCTGCATGGGCCGCCTGCGTCACTGTGGACAGGGCTGCTGTGCCAGAGCACGGTAACTCCAGCTCGGGCTGCCCCGCAACCCTGAGCAGCCTTGTCTACAAGCCGGAGCCTGAAATCAGACAGGAACCCCTGGGCCCGGTTGCTGGTGTCATCTATTAGACCCTGGGGTACAAAATTGGGCTTCTGTTGGATGCAGCAGCCATAGTGCGGGACCCCAGCACTGGAGCCACCGGTGAGTGTGAGCAGCACTCCAGGAGCTGAAGGCCACAGCCTGACTGCCAGCTCCTGAAAACAGATTCGAGATCGAAGAGTCGGGAGAAGAGCGAGGCCGGAGGCTCAGTGTTGCCTGCCCTCCCCCTGCCCGGAAAGCCCGCCAGACCTGCATAGGCAGCCAGGAGCCTGAGCTGGAGAGGGGTCCGGCCTCAGTGGAGACCCCAGCATGGTGCTGTTCTGGGGCTGCTCCCTTAGGACTTTCCTGAGGACTCACTACTTCACCCATGTACATATAACTAGGCCGAACTTTTTGGCCATTAGGAAGCTACTTCGGTTTTGGAGCTTGGATTTGGGGTCAAGGGCTGGCCTCACCGCCCCAGCTGCCCCAGCCTCCAGGCCTCCAAGCCTGCGGTCTCCTTGCCCTGGAGGCCCCAGCCCCCGCACCAGCTCGGCTCACCACCAGCACTATAGGTTTTATTTCCATATTCTTGTTTCAAGTACAAATTATGAGACGTAACGTCCTCTGTACCTATTCATTTTGCCTCGTACGTTGTCTGTTTCTTACATTTGGGTGTATTTTTCTGTTGTTACTGCCAATGTGAAAATGTTTTTTATCTATCCTGCGTGCTACCTCTTTACATAGCAACTATTGTTTTCTAGTCCGATGCCCATCTGATCAATTTTCCTTTCATTTTTTTTGAATGCTAATTAATATTTATTAATCTAACATCATTCACAGCTTATTTAAGGCATAATCTCCCACCTTTGGGTAAAATAAATCATTCATGTGTGTGTGTGTGTGTATATATATATACACACACGTGTGTGTGTATGTGTGTACATATATATACACACACGTGTGTGTGTATGTGTGTACATATATATACACACACGTGTGTGTGTATGTGTGTACATATATATATACACACACACATACACACACACTCTGTTAGGACCTAATAATTACTTTTCCTGTTAGTTTTTAAAGTTAATATCCTTTATTTTTATAATGGTTTTAGGTTTCCAGAAGTGAGCAGTAAGTACCTAGGGTTCCCATAGGTTCCCTCCCACCTCATGCCACAGTCTTCACGATTTTAACATCTCACATTCATGTTGTACTTTTGATAAAATTGTAGAAACCAGTATTGATAACTAAATATTGACACGTTAATATTAAAGTCCGTGGCTTATGTTAGTAAGGGTCATTCTTTGTGTTGCAGTCCTGTGGGTTTTGCCAAATGCATGACGTCAGGGACCCACCATTATGCACTCAATAGATTCACTGCCCTAAAAACTCCTGCTTAGCACTCCTTCCCTACTCCTGAACTTTGGTAACTACTGATCTTTTTACTGTCACTATGATTCTGCCTTTTCCAGGATGCCATATTGCTGGAATTATATTGTATATAGCCTTTTCCTATTGACTTTATTCACTTAGAAATATGCAATTAGACCGGGAGTGGTGGCTCACGCCTCTAATACCAGCACTTTGGAAGGCCAACGTGGGCAGATCATGAAGTCAGAAGTTCAACACCAGCCTCGCCAACGTGGTGAAACGCCGTTTCTACTAAAAATACAAAAAATTAGCCAGGCATGGTAGCGTGTAGCTCCTTGGGAGGCTGAGGCAGGACAATTGCTTGAATCCAGTAGGCAGAGGTTGCAGTGAGCTGAAATCACACCATTGCACTCCAGCCTGGGCAACAGAGCAACACTCTGTCTTGGGGAAAAAAAAAAGATGACCATGTAATTATAATTTTTAATAATATAATTTTTAATAATTTACTTATAATTCTAAGCAGGGAAAGTGTTCTACCACACATATTTGAAGATTCTGGACATTATTGTAAAGGCCTGTTTTATATCTGGGTTAAAATTTGGTCAATTTTGTTCTTTTGTCTCTAGGGCAAGAAACATCAAGATCCCAAAGTCTATCCCATTCCTCTCAGTAGGCCCAGGCTGAGGAACAAATTCAAGACCTTCATTCATTAGAAGTCACCCCTATAACCTCTCCTGTCTTCCTCAGTCCAGGGCAAATGACTGAGGTGGAGGAAAGCTCTTCCTCCTGACCAGGAGTTGACACCCCCAGGGCCACGCTGGCAGGTGTTCCAAAATGGTGACAGCCTCCTTGGACTGCTCCAGTCTGCATTTAGGCCACAGAGGAGTCCCTTCTGTGATGGGACATGAGCCCCATATCCCCAAATGATCCCCTAAGCAGAACATTGCTTGAAAACAGGCCTCCAGTGAGAGAGGCCAGGCTGCTCCAGCCATGAGGAGAATGCCCTGCAGGGGACTCGAACATCCAAACAGCCAGGAGGGCCAAGGAGATGGACTCTGCTTTCAGCAAAGCTCCCTGCACACTTCCAGGTCCAGGACCTCTGTGATACTCAACGTCATTCTGTCTCCACGTGATCAGTGACAACCGCAACCAGGCGAGCCGTTCGCCAGCACAAGAGGGGGTCTGCCTAATCCAGATCTGCTCAGCTGGTCTATGTTCCCAAAAACACATATTCAGGGCTGGGGAGGCAGCTGTCCCCACTGGGCACCGCCTGCAAATGCAAACAACTCAATGTCCTGCAGTGTGGACACCAATCAGGTTTTACTGGGGACATTTTCAAAAATGGGTTCGCTCCTCTGCCTCTCATGAGCCTCAGGGCAGCTGGGTGGATTGTGGGGTTGTGCTCTAGGATTAGCACTCTCCAGATCCTCTGCCTTTTAATAAATGCAGTGGTGAAAGGCCGTGCAGGAAGAGTGATGGGAGGAAGACTCTCTAGCCTCTCAGGGGAGGTGCAAGGCCAAGACTAGAGTCAGTGCTTGGGGCATCTGGAGGACTCGGGGAGGTTGAGGTCTCAGAAGAGGAGCAGATGCAGTCCAGGCCAGCTCAGCTCAGGCCACCCTGAGAGGGACCTTGGAGCCACCCATAGATGGTCATGTGGACTCTCAAGCATGTTTGAAGCCAGTACAAAGGCCCATCCTGTGTTGGGGGTGGAAAAGAGGAATAGCGCAGGGGCTCCTAATGGGCCCTTTGCAAACCCTTCCATCACCTGTGCAGAGGAAAGGGGAGGCCAGG